TAAAGTATGAATGTGTGTAGTATCAGTGTAATCCAGATGTACTGCATTCATCATGTTGTCATTGTCATGTGACCTACCAGTGTCAGTTGTGTCGCTTCACTGCCATTCACAGATCCTCTGCCGTGGCCTCATGGGAAAGTGTCAAAGTGTCCATTTGATGCGCAATTCAGAATCTTGTCTGAAATAGTAGGTCATCTGGGTACTTTTTGCCTATTATTTTATGAATACTGTGAATTGGGACGTACTACTCTCTTTTCACATACTGTTTTGGTCTTCTGTATTGTAGGGAAGCATGTGATTTTGGATAGAGCCATATAGTAGCAGACTATATGAAGTTGTTTTGCTAGCATTCATGAGGCATCAGAAACACATCAGTGGCCCTCAGCGTGTATCAGGTGACATGATGCAGGTACCTGTCCACCTCCAGACTCTGAGAAGGTTCCAGCTCATTCATCCTCATCATCATCTCAGTGTCGGATGAGCTCTGATGTGCACATGGAGCTGCTCTCTCACCAGTCTGCGTGTGGATGTCGTCTGCACTACTGCAAAGATGGCCATGATGACAGATCATTTTGCATCCTCTTTTACATAATATTGTCATCGTTTACATAATATTGCATTTTGCATAATAGATGATGTCTAATTCATTAGCAGTGACATCAAAGGCAAGCATCAATATTGTTATTGCTCATATTTATGGTTAAGGATTTCAAGAAACCTTTTAGCCTTATTGTATAAGAGTTGCATTCTATTCTATGCTCAGATTTAGAAATTGAGACCTATTTTTAAATTTGATTTCAGTGCAAATTAGTTTAACCCATTCTTCTGTAGTTTAAGTTTAGTTTTAGATTTTACATTTTTAGAAAAGAAAAGAAAAATCATAAACCTATGCTGAAAAATGACTGGTATGATGGCCAATCAGTGGCATGACAGACAACGAATAAAAAAAGTTGATCTATAATAAGGCGAATTAAGGAAAAGTAAGCAATAAAATTAAGTTGTTAAATGCAAATGCCTTTAGTTAATTTAAATAAAATAAACTTTCACTGAAATAAAATAGAATTTTTTTTTAAAAATTTCTCATTTTCATTTAGTTTAACTTGATGTAATAAAAACAAACTAAAACAAATAAAAATGAATAAACACTATAGACATATTTAAAAGGAAAAAAAAAAACTAAATTACTGAAACGTCAAACAAAATGAAAACCGAAAATATAAAAATATAAACAATCAAAATAT